TGCAATTGAAATGCAAGATTAAAAGAGATGTTGTTTTTAACTTTCAAAATCCTTTTCCATTTTTTTTTTTGCTATGATTGAATAAAGAAATGGAAAAATCAATTCCTTTCTATTCTAATTATGGACGCTTAAATTGTAAGCGCAGCCTTAATCATTGCAGATTATTATTTGACAATGTTTAGGAAGTTATATGGCTGTGCATATTTATATGGTTTTCTGATTGTTGTGCCAGAACAAAAATATCCACGCTATCATCTTAGAAAGTCATTGTGCTGCAAGTGTTCAATAGATATATTACTCCAACCATTGTTACTCACAGACAATGCCCTCGCTTCTTTTCTGTTTATTTGTTTCGAATCATAGGATTGAGTTACTGGGTACCATATTTGATATTTCATCCATCTCATCTCATCTGTATTATGCTTACTGTTTCACTGACATGAATACGCAGTCTGTCTTATATCTCTTCTATAAGTAGCAGTCAACCACATCTGTGAAGTGATTGGTTAAAATATTTTCATTACATGCTTCTGTAGACAGAGTTTCTTGCTTTTAATCAATATCAGTGGTATAAGCTATTTGAATGAAATTGTCACTTAATCATCTTATGATTCCACTCCTGATCTATGGAGTCAAGTTGCTGGAGGATTGGACTAGATGATGCAATTTTGATTTTCTAGCTAGTGTGTTGCAGGCAATTCGTTTGTTGCTTCTTCTTTTTCTTCTTCATTTTTTTTATGGCAGTAAGGTTACAATAACTCAATAGGTTTCTATCAGGTACGTGCCAGATGCAATTAAAGGTGACATGGATTCAATACGATCTGAAGTACTTGACTTCTATAAAGTTCTGGTATGGCTTTGTTTCTCTGTTTGCATAGGATATTCTTTTCTCTCTGTTGGATTATGTGTGTGATGTCTCCAAACTGGCAGTGATGGGTTCAACTTTCTTGGCAATACCTTGTTGTCATTTGCTTTATTCTTAACATGCAATCTTTCTACCATGTATGCTTGTTTGCAGGGAACTAAGATAATGGATGAATCTCATGATCAGGACACCACAGATTTGCACAAATGTGTTGCCCACATCCGTGGCTGTACTTCAGATATGGATAAATCATCAGTAAGTTAAATCAATTCAAACTTCTTGTTTTCTACGTCTTTGACCTAAGTTTTGATGGTGAAGAACTATATTATGTGTATTTAATCGTGTCTTGTTGCTTTAATTTTTAAGAGAGCAGTCTTGGTAATGAATGCTCTATGGTGCCATAATTGATTTTTTTAAAAAATTAATTTCTTCATTTCTTGTAATGTATTGCAGCTAAGGATTCTTGTAACTGGAGCACTTGGTGGGCGATTTGACCATGAGATTGGAAATATAAATGTTCTGTGCCGTTTCTCTGATACTCGAATTATTCTTCTATCTGACGATTGCCTCATTCACCTTCTTCCAATGAATTATCATCATAAGATCTATATTCAGTCTTCCGTCGAGGGTCCACACTGTGGACTCATCCCCATTGGGATGCCATCTAGAAGTTCTACTACCACTGGGCTCCAGTGGGATCTCAGTAAGTATATCAGATATGCATTATTATTATATGATTGCTATTTTTAGATTGTTTTATTTCTAAGCTTTAATTGAATTTGTATAAAAGGTGCTTGCCTTGACATTTCATGAATGGAATGTCAATTATTGTCTGCGAGATTCCTCAATGAAAAGTCGAGTTTTTTATATGGTAGGAGTAGTTAGTGTACTGCAATTCGGCAAGAACTTTCCTATCCTGTGTTCTGAGTGATAAACTGCACTTATTAAAGGGATGATAATCATGCTCGCGAGATTCCACCATGAAAAATCGATTTTCATGTTGTGCTAAGAGGATTCACGCATCTTGTGTTATGAGTGATCAACTAACTAATTAGCAATTTCTGAGAGCACATAATGTGCAAATATGATGCCATGGTTTGATGGGGCAGATGGTTCTGATGCATCATCTTTTCACTATTTTATTAGTTCATCCTCAGCCTGCTGTTATCTAGCGTATCAGGAATCTATTACGTAACATCTTAATTTATCCGTTTCAGATGATACCGAGATGAAATTTGGTGCTTTAGTAAGCACATCGAATATTGTAAAAGGCGAGGTAGTCACAGTACAGTCGGATTCAGATCTTCTGTGGACAATTTCTATCAAGAAGCCCTAGTATTTTTGATGATTCAGGACACATTTGATCTTTCGGATCTATCATGCCTGCGCAGATGAATCCTACAGGCTATTTCTTTTTCCAACATTTCTGATGTTCTATTTTGTTCTTAACTCTGTGCATAAGGGGAGGTGTATTTAATTGACTTTTAAATGTCTAGGAATGGTGAAATTCTATCCCTTACTAGTCTTGGAATCTCTCTCTCTCTCTCTCTCTCTCTCTCTCTCTCTCTCTCTCTCGGAAGTTACATTCCTTAGCTCGTGTATTATGCCACTGAGTGAAATTAACGGGAAAATATGCCGCCAAAAGACTAAGCAGATGAAGGATCATCCGGTGGATTGTTTCTGGTAATCATCCATCTTCGGCATCGAAGTAGAACGCAGACAACAAGAACAGCATATTTATTAATATATATGCACCCTTATGGGCCTTCATTATATGTGTTCCAGTTACTCGATGTACAGTTAATCGGACAGCTGCATGGCGTAGCTAGCTTGGTTAGTATCTGGGGACTGAAGTTGCTTCGGCCCAAAACAGGAAATGTGTAGACTTGACTATCTGGTTCTGGGAAAATGAGCACAGAGGGCCCTTTTCGGTTGGAAAAGGGGGCAGTGAACGTAGAGAGCTTAAAGGCTAGTGAATTCACAAGGACTCTGCAAGGAGTGTTTGAATGGAAGTTAAATTATATTTTAGAAATGATTTTATAGTATACGAAATAAATATGTGGAGGAATTTATTTCGATTTGTAAAAAAGTATTTTTATTTTTTTTAGGAATCCAAACACCACCTAAGGCAAGTAAATTCTTGGGTTCTTCTAGAGTACCGTATCATTTGTGCGTCCAAGTTCCAATGCGAGGCATCCAAGTCATATAACGGAGCCCGCTTTTTCTATACGGAAAAACTTTGGAATTGAGGGGAAAAAAGTGATTTTGATTGTAAAGGAGTTGTTGGGAGAACTTTCAGGTAAAATGGGGATGTGTAGAAAATAATTCACTTTTGCCCATATTTACTTCGACCACTTCTTCATGTTTAATTAATCAGAATCAATTTTTTTCTTTTGCTTTTACACAAATGGCCCCGTAACCAGCTATGAAATCAATCCGGAGGGAAAAAATGCTGTAGTAGAAGAAAAACAGTGATAAACAGGTAGTGATCCACTGAGATGTTGTATGGCTAGTCTAAAGCTCTCGTACTTCAATAATAGAAAGGGAATATAAACCACGAAGGCACGAACAAGAAAAAAAGTTGGGGAATGGGATAGCCAGCTGCATTTAATAACGAAGCTCACCGAAAAATAGTTTCTATAGACCTCACCTTCCGCGAGAGAAGCCAGTGACCTCATCTCCGTGAATCGAGATTGGAAGAAACAAACTGACAGAAAAATCTCATTTTCCATGTTTGAATTGAAATGCAAATTAATGGAATGTAGTATTACCTCTTTTTAATATAGGATCTAATTATTGAATTAATTTTGATTTTTAATATAAGATCTATTTTTTGTATTTATCAATATTTTTTAAATCATCTTTATAGATACTCCTTCAATCATAATCAAGTAGAAGAGATAAGGAGGATATTAAGAAAGATGATTGTGATGTTTTAAAAAAACATGTCATATTTCTTATAATTAATTAACTTACTTAACTTTTCTTAATCTAATTAAATTAGTTAAATAGGTCCTATATTAAAGATTAGAGGAGTATAATAATTAGTTGATTAATTTGAGTAGATTAAAAAAACTAGTTAAGTTAGTTATTTGTAATAAATATATGATATTTTCTAAAATATCTTTGCTAATCAAGTATATTAACTGGACTATCATTATTATAAGGACTATCTTGAAAAAAAAAATAGATAAATATGAAAGACAAAATAAATTAAGATTTTATATTTAGGATGAAAATAAAAATTAAAAAAATTCTTATATTAACGAAGGGAGGTAATAGTTCCTGATGATAAAAGTGAGATAATAATGTTGGGAGGAGAGTCAAAAGGGACGTTCCTTTATTGACGCGTGGGCTTCAAATGTTCTATAAACAATCTCCATTAATATATCTTCAATTATGTATATCAATCAAGGGTTACATTGATGTAAATACAAACTTCGCGAAACCGTCAAAAATTACTAAACATGTGACAGACCTTAGGTACTGTTCATTTTGGAACATATGGGATGGATATCCATATCCTAATAAATACTGCGAGGAAAATGAAATCTCAAAATATGATCTTGAGGGTTTTTTTTTTTTTTTAACCAGAATCTTAAGGGGGTTATTAGCATCTATGAATACTTATAATATTTTCGGTGCCATGAATGTTTATTTTTGAGTCTAATAACTTGTTTTAGTATATTTCTTGCATGAGTTAAAGCCTCTTTGGAATAGCAGTAAAAAAACATTTATAAGTATATTTTATATAAGTCAAGATAAAATTCTTCTCACATGCTTATTTCTTGTTCTACAAATTATGATTAAAAAACTATTTATAAATTATTCTAAATAATAACTTTCACGTTATTTCACGTTCAACCTTTCTTTTTTTTCCTTAGCATGTTTTGATTGAGAATTATTTTACAGGAAAATGACAGAAAGAGAAGTTAGAAATTACAAATTCCAAATCAGATCTGATAACATAACTTTATTTGGTATTGATAAGTTTAAATTTACAAATGACAACAATTTTTTTTTTGACATTTTTCGTTTGGCATTTATAAAATTTCAGTTTTTTTTTTGATGAGATGAATTATCAAAATAGTCAAACGCAGCCCCTCGGCTCGGGCGGTTTCGGTACGGAAAACGCCACCGTTCGGCTTGGCCGGCTATTTTTTCCCGAGGTAGGCAGGCTGCGAAAAAATTAACTTCGTTCCCGCTTCGGTTTTGGCGGTAAACTCTGTAAGCTTCTTCTTTTTGTCACAAACCAAGCATCGACGCCTGCAGGTGACGCTAGTTATATCTGGGGCTTTGTCACTTGAGTCACTGACCAACTACTGATGCAGTAGAGACTCGAGAAGGTGACGGATTCTTGATTGGGGTTTCTGGGCAAGCAGCAATGCCAGTTGAATCACCAGTTATCAAGCCTATAAACAAGGCGGCTGTTCACAGAATCTGTGCCGGTCAAGTGATCTTCGACCTTTCATCTGCGGTTAAGGAATTAGTCGAAAACAGCTTGGATGCTGGCGCGACTAGCATTGAAATTGCCTTGAAAGATTATGGCGAAGAATGGTTCCAGGTCATCGATAATGGGTGTGGTATTTCACCTAATAATTTCAAGGTATTCTATCACCCTCAAATGAGGTGGCTTGGCTTGATTTTAAGAACGTCAGAGTCTGAGGGGACACTCGCATGTAAATGTAGCAGGGCGATACCAGCGAAACCAGAAATCTAGTAGCAAAAGCATAACTAGTAGCTTAGTTGAGCTCATTGCTGTCGTTGTTTAACGTTGCACCTGTATATTAACAGTTATATGTTTAAGTTTTCGAATGACTTGCTGGTACTATTAGTGGCCTGGTATAGCCGAATTGGTGCCGAAGAGGGTTATAAGTAGTGTTGTTAATGGAGTCTGTCTAGAATTCTTCTCTCTTCTTTCTCTATCCTTTCACAATTTTCATTTATTGCTAGATGCTGAATGGTGAACAAATACTCTGTTTGAATTGTAGCAAATGGGTTCCATTTATTGCTAGATGCCGAATGATTCAAATCAGAATTTTGATTCTACTTTGACTGCTGCTGTGAGGGGGGGTACAAATATGGTTCTGTTAGCTGCTACTTGGTGGGGTGGTTGAGTAGTAAGGAGGTTGAATCCGGTAGCAAGTGGGTTATAAGTAGAAGTTTGTACCTTCTCTTACAGGAATTTGTCTAGAACTCTCATCTTTTATCTTTATTATTATTTTTTTCTTCTTCTAGTTATTATCATTTGCCTCTCCAAAAGTCTCACAATGATCAATTTCTCAATTTACATAATCGCTGCCAGGCATGAGTTTCTCAGTTTGACATGTTTAGCTCAGAAGTTTGAGTGTATGTATACATTATCTTGGATGTCACCATCTTTTATTCATTTAATTTTTATGTGATTGTAAGGGGCATTTTTTGGGTGCTTGTGTGAAAAGTAATTGAGATGATAGATAATTAGGCTAGCTCTCTCTTAATTAGATAATCAGAAAATATCCTTCACGTGCTGATCAATTTCAGTTACTTTACAGTCGTACGGTTTATAACAGGTTATTATTGCTCAAACATTATCACAGGTTCTTGCACTTAAGCATCACACCTCAAAATTATCAGATTTTCCTGATCTTCAGTCTCTCACCACATTTGGCTTTAGAGGGGAGGCGTTGAGTTCCCTTTGTGCTCTGGGGGGTTTGACAGTTGAAACAAGAACAAAGAATGAGTCAGTTGCCACACACTTGACTTTTGACCATTCAGGTCTACTGGTAGCTGAGAGGAAAATCGCACGTCAAATTGGCACCACCGTCACTGTTAAAAAGTTATTTTCTAACTTACCTGTCCGAAGTAAAGAATTCAGGCGTAACATACGCAAGGAATATGGAAAGTTAGTTTCGCTATTGAATGTGAGTATCCTTTCCACATGGCTAGGTTAAGTGAATGCATACTCTCTGATTCTTTCATTCAATACAATTTCTTCTTAGTATAAAAACGTTCTGAAAAAACACATGCAGATGCCAGAACACTCTTTTTCATACCCATCATACTCACCAAAAAATTTGTTCTGGTATGCAAATTTTTTAACGAGTTATCTGGTTTTTATCATGTATACATATACATACATGTGTGCACCCGCGCGTGCGCACACACATGTATATATATTTTCATTGGATCTCTGCCTCGTACAATGATGCGAGCAGTCAAATTCCTATGCTCTCTACAAACTGATTTTGGATTGCTGGTAATAGTATTCCTGGCATATTTATTGCTGACCTTTTATGCATGGATGCATCACAAAAACATCACTTATTCTCCAGCAATTTAGAGATATTGGCCCTTTGCCTTTGTTTTAGTGTATTATGGTTGTTGCTTTTACATCCCTTCTGCTTTTTATATATATCCCTCCCCCCTCCCAGATAAAATATTCTTTCTTCTTAATGATATATGTATTTGTTAATTGATACTTTTCTACCATCAATTCTTCAGGCATATGCCCTTATTGCCAAAGGTGTTCGTTTTGTCTGTACCAACACAACTGGAAAAAATGCAAGGTCTGTGGTCCTTAGGACCCAGGGAAGTGGTTCTCTCAAAGATAACATTATAACAGTCTTTGGCATGAACACCTTGAGCTGCTTAGAGCCTGTGACATTATGCATATCTGATGGCTGCAAGGCTGAAGGTTTTCTTTCCAAGCCCGGACAGGGAAGTGGACGTAATTTAGGAGATAGGCAGTATTTTTTTGTTAATGGCAGACCAGTAGACATGCCTAAAGTCAGCAAACTTTTAAATGAATTATACAAAGGTGCAAATTCACGGCAATATCCTATCGCAATTTTGAATTTTTCAGTTCCATCTAGAGCATATGATGTGAATGTGACTCCTGATAAGAGGAAGATATTTTTTTCTGAAGAAAGTTGCCTATTGCATGCCCTCAGAGAGGGATTCCAGCAAATTTATTCTCCTAGTAGTGTTCGTTATTCTGTTAATGAACCTGAACAGCCTGCTGTGGGCGAAGACTGTATTGAGCTGTGTTCTTCTCATAGTAAGTCTCTTATCATGAGTGACTTTACTTTTCAAGAGGAGTGTAATACTGAATTCAACAATGCTAGTGTTCCTCAGGAGGAGTGGAAAGAGAAGGATAATAATCAGTCCCACTTTGTTTCTGAACCTGTTCCTGATGATCAGTGCTTTCATGCTGAAGAACAGTCTAACAATGAAAATAATAGAAGCGCATTGGGAAAGGATTTAACACTTAGAGCTCATGGGACATTAAAATCTGATAAAAGTGTAAGACAGACAATGCACTCTAACAGTACCGTGCCTGATCAAGCTGCTTTTGTGTTCAAAGCAGTTGACAATGGGGTCGCTTCAAATAAAAGTTCATGTAATCATTCAAGTCATGTCCAGTCAACTCTTAAGAAATTTGTTACCATAAATAAAAGAAAGCATGATAACATCAGTACAACCTTATCTGAAGTGCCTGTCCTGAGAAATCAATATCACCATTGTCAACCACAAACTGTGAATACAGAAACGCATGACTCGATTACAAGACCGTCGCACCATCATGACCAAAATGATGAAACTGGGAAGGTGAATTGGAATGAGTCTTTGGAGCATCTTAGTCCTGATAATGATACCCACAGAAGTGAGCATTTAATTTCTTCTCTTGATGATTCAGGTGTAAAAGAACCTGAAATGGTATGTGGTTTATACTTTAAATGTTCCTCAAATTTATTTGAACTGCTATTAAGAAATACCTACAGTTTCAGTTATTGAACCATACAATCATTAAATGCAGACTATATACTTGAACCATATTCTATGAGGACTATAAAGATCTTGGGCTGCTCCATTAAGTTGTGTCTTTTACATCAATGATCCCTGTTCTATTCTTTTTGTTCCTGCAACAAGAGTCTTGAATATTTTTTTAATCCTAATGGAGATCCTTCTGATAAGTGTCATTTTGCAATAGTATCAAGATGCTAAAACAAGGCTATGTCTTCCTTTCATCTGAAGTCTGAACTGCTTTGCACATTATTCCTCAGTGTCTATGGTTGGAGTAAATTGCTTGCTTTTAGGCAAGTGTTTGACTTGCTTTGGGGTTTCTTTTTTTTTTTTTTTTTGGGAGATAAGGATGGGCCTGTTCTTATGTCTTCTCTTTGTGTTAACAAGTGATTTAGTTTAAGTCTCCTTCGTAGAAATATAGGTGGTTAGAGAGCTTTCTTCTATTGATGCTTTGTATTTGCAAGTTTTTTTCCCCCTTGTTACTCAAATTTTATGTCCAGAAAAGAACAATCAACTTGGTTTCGGTATAATTTTCACATTGAGGACGCTGATTTCAGGAGTTAGATCAAGCGAAAGAAGCATCTAGCACTGATTTGATCAATATCTCAGAGCGTGTTTTTGTCTCAGACCATCAAGTATGTTCATCTACTTCAAAGAAATCATCTGATCAGAAGATATGCTCAAACTTGCAATTTTCTTTCCAAGACCTTAAGACTAGGAGAAAGAAGAGGCGTTCTATGTTGCAATCCAGTAATTACAGATTTCAAGAAGTGAATGTCAAAAGGTCTCTATTTACCATACCAATCGTATGAAATTGGCAATATCATATACAGCTGTTTAATCAGTTGACTTTTTATGTTTACTCGCAGTTGCTACTCTGCTGCAAACTTAAAGTTTTCAGAGCTGGAAATTGAAGAGCAGAAAGAAAGAGCTTTATGCGCTGCAACAACTGAGTTGGAAAGACTCTTTAAGAAGAAAGACTTCAGCAGAATGAAGGTCACGCCCCCCCCCCCGGGGTGGTCCCCAAAAAGAAAATTTGTTTCAAATAATCATCTAAAATGCTTGAAATGCTTCTAACTGTGCCACATCTCTCTCTCTCTCTCTGTGTCTCTCTCTAACTGTGCCATCTTTTTTGATGATCTGTGTTTACTGCTTTGTAAGTTATGAACTAAGATGTTAGGAGCCTGTAGGCTCCTTTCTTTATTGAAAACTCGTGCCTGAATTAAGAAGTCAACTACTATGGTTTTCTTTTTAAATCAAACATGCCCTACAATAACTTGTTGATTGCTCTGCTTTGTTGCTGTAGGTGATTGGGCAATTCAATCTTGGTTTTATCATTGGGAAATTGGATCAGGATTTATTTATTGTGGATCAGGTAATTTCTGGTCCAGGCTTCTAAACCAGTGGTATATATAGTTTTTACCTCCATTAATTTGAATGATTAATCAATAAAAATGTCTTGTTTTCATCGGATTTACTTTTCAATTTATTTCTGTATCGAAATTTGAAACATAATTATTAACAAGAATAATCTATTTTCAGCATGCTGCGGATGAGAAGTACAATTACGAGCGCCTTTCACAATCAACCATCTTGAACCAGCAGCCTTTGCTTAGGTTAGGAGCTTATAATGTCTTTGACTTACGAGTTTTACTATGTCCTCTTTTTTTTGCTTTGTTGTTTTTGGAGAGGAGGGAGACTATGGCACTTCAAATTGCAATTGCTTGGTATAGATACTTTGCTTATTTTGAAATCAAATACTGCGTCCTCTCGTGTTAAAGGTAAAGGAACTTGTTCAATTCGAAGTTATAATATCTATTCAGAGTGAAAACTTGATAGCTGAAGCACTTTTATTGAACCATATATTGTATTATCTACACTGCACTGATGAAACATGGTTGAGTAATCTCGTTCCCATATTTGTTCAACTAGTTCTATCCAAGGTTTCAAACCCTTTTCAAATTATTAATGTAGGGCTCTAAGATTGGAGCTATCCCCTCAAGAAGAAATCGTTGTTTCAATGCACATGGACATAATCAGGTATAATTGGCACCCTGCTGGTAAAGTATTGATATATATTACTTCGGCTTATTTCAGGTTATTGTTAGAAACTAGATATCTATAGTGCTATTGTAATGTTAGTCTTGAACCAGGCAAACTTTATTTCTGTCCAGTTTGCTTTGGTCATTACGGAAGTGTTTCCCAATGTGCTCTGATTTGCTTGCTCATTTTCTACTTATCATGATATGAGAAAATAACCGTATTGAGTTTCTTGAACATATTCCTATTTCACAGTGATAGCACCTTATTTTAGAAGCTAAGAATCATGTAATGCTATATCAGAAAACACAGATAATACCACTGGTTAATTTTCTCTTATCTGCTGTGGTAAACTGAACAGTACGTATCAGTCTCTTGTGGATCGCTTGACAACTGAGCTGAAACTGCGCTATGTTATGCTAAATCAATCCAATGATTTTTCTAGACAATTTCAAAAGGTGTATGGTCAGATACTTTGCTGCTGCGAAGTGCATAATATATAGAAATCTGGGGATAAAATTATATTTGGATTTATTCAATGCTTGATATCATCAACCTGATGCTTAGGTTAAGATGCAGCGGTGATTATGTCCTTTGGTCTAGTTAAGGAATTGACATCCTCATCTCTTATCACTTGTTTCTTTTTATTGATTAGTTTCATGATCTCACGAAGGCATAATTCATTTTATTAACCATAGGTTGTGGCTATTGAAAACGTCTATGCTCAAACACCTTTTACATTCCTTGTTTTCGATCCCATATCAGGCTTCAACTAGATCCTGAGAATTTCATTGAGGTAGAGTGTCATTACAAGACCGGGCTGGCCTCAATAGCACTGCCTTTCAGGTTGCCAGGGTATATTATTAGAGTTATCAAACTCTTCTCCCCACTCCCCCTGCTGATATTTTCCCAAACTATTTAAGTTGCCAATTCCTGGCTGCTAATATCTCTTTAATTGTGGTTGTGACTGCTGTTGCTACAGTCACTGACAGATAATATTTCCATTTAAGATTTCTGAGTTCCTGCTTATGGATTACACCATTAGTACTTGGTCTAATTTCCTCTTGTTGCGTCGATTATACCATTAGTGCTTGGTCTAATTTCCCCTTGTTGTGTCAGTTACTTTTGTATTTGCATTTTTCGTTGATACCAAATTTAAATTTTGTAAGCGCAAAACTTCTGTAGTGTTGCATTTCTTTACTGTGCCATATTTGAGGTTTAATCTGGTTGATGGTGTTATTTTGCATTTTCTCCATTTCCAGAAAGAATGGGTTTACATTGGAAGAGGATCCAAATGCTCCACCTGGATGCCGTTATAAATTGAAGGCTGTCCCCTTCAGTAAAAACATAGTCTTTGGAAGTGAAGGTAGTTAGCTCTGAAATTTGCTGATTTTGGTTTTAAATTTACTTACGGTGATTCTGTTGGTTTTTATGAAACGGCTCTGTCAAGGAGAAGCCCTGAATATAACCTCCTTGCACAAAAGATGCATCATTTTCTGTTTTTGATTCTCCCTAGGTACAAAAAATTCAAAATTTCTTTTGACAACAGTACGAAGTTTAAAAAAGCAAATTAATTATTAATTAATCAAAATAAAAAGAAAACCAACAGTGACATCAATGTATACAAAGTATTTATCTCACTTTTATATTGATGATATATTTGCTAATTGAATCCTGCGTTTTAGTGATTATTGACCTGTGTTTCTTCCAGCAGACGTTAAGGACCTGGTTTCTACGTTAGCTGATGATCAAGGGGACTGCTCCATTACTGGTAGTTATAAGCTGGACACGTCAGATTCTATTTGCCCTCCAAGAGTTCGTGCAATGTTGGCATCGCGTGCATGTCGATCATCCATTATGATTGGAGATCCACTTGGAAGAAATGAAATGCAGAAGGTAGTAAAATGCATTCCTGTAATCATCACCTCAGCTTCTTACCCCTCACTAAGCAGAAGGCACATTCGTTAGAGGAAATCCAGAATAAGAATTAGTTTAACTATATTTTAACCTTCCAACTTCAACTTCCACTCTGACAGTCCAAAAATTTGTAGCTTCCTTCGCTAATGAGAATCGGCTATCGTGTGTTTCAGATTCTGGGGCATTTGGCTGACCTGAAATCTCCATGGAATTGTCCCCATGGCAGGCCTACAATGCGTCATCTAGTGGACTTGACATCAATTCACAAGAGGTCAGAATTAAAGAACGTAGATTGATTCACAAGAAAATTCTGACTGCCGCTCTTGCGATTCAGAGTTTAACCTATTTGTACAACTTATTTTTGTACTTGTCATCCTTCATCTTAACCATGGAACAAGTACCAATGCACATAAAATTCGTCCTGTTGTATATTTGTGAGTTGCATGAAGGAGTAAGTTACTTTCACATAAACGCGTGATATGGATGTAAGTTGCTGACTTGTGATATCTTCTTTAAGTGCGGGACTTTACAACTACAATATATGTGTGTGTGTGTGTGTGTGTGTGTGTGTGTGTGTGTGGTGTGTGTGTGTGTAAAACATTAATACGAACAAATAAATGACTTACTAAAAGCTATATCCATCAAATCATGCCAATATTCGTAAGTCATTAGCCTCCTATAAAAATTGGCGGGATGCATTCGGATTCTCTACATCCTTTCACAAATAACCCTTTATGGTCATTTGGGAAAACAACAGCTGAAAGAGTGCCTTGCTTATGATAATATGATTGTGGAAGACATTATTAAAAATTGAATTAGACATTCAGAATTTTCATAATAGAATGCATTCAAGTAGGGAAAAAAAATTGAGATACTTTCATCAGAGCGTTAGAAGGAATCAATATACCAATATATATATATATATTAAATTTTTTAATGAGACGTATAATAAGCCTTATTATTTTTCTTAATAATGTGATTTATTAATCAAATGTTTTAAAATGAACGAAAAAAGATATATTCGGTTTTCAAGAACCCAACAATCATAAAAATATTAAGAATTATTTAATTTATTTTATTACACCAAAAAAATTCAAAAAGTTGCTCCTTCACTTTTATACACAATAGTATAATGGTATTATATTTAAAATCGGAAGAGTATTAAAATAATTATATTTCCTATCCATCCTTTTTGAAGATCAGGGAAGAGAAGACTCCCGCTCAGTTTTTCTAGTTCCATTTTGTTATTGAAAAAGGAAAATAATTGGGCAAAATTATCGAAAACTAAAGTCACACTTAAAAAACAAAATTAAGAAATGAATAACAGGACGGCCGGAAAAGAGAAACCAAAAACAAGTTTTGGCCCAGTTGACCTAACAAATCTTTAATTTAGAATATTTATTGGTTTTATTATCTGGCACCAGCCGAAAGGTGTGAAGGTTTTAGGTGACTCGAACTCGAATGGGAATCAGGTGAAGTGATAGTCGTACCTGTCCGGCTTCTCTTCGTCTCTGTTCCTTTGAACAGAATTCACAAGTCTCTAGACGAAGACGTTAGCGGCCGATCCGCGTGTTGAAGAGACTATCCCATAGCCATTATGGTATGTTTTTACTTCTCCCTCTGTTTGGTCGAGGTCATACTTTTCTCAAAACCCTAGCATTCTCCGGCGCAACGCAATTGATCCCTAGATTTCGTGAAGTTATTCGTACCCTCTTCCCCTATGTTAGTCATTCCTATTACGTTAATCCGAAAACCCAAGTGGGTTTCACTTATCCCTCCTTCTCCGTACCATAAGGTGCTGGGGTCCCAAACTCCGGGTTCAGTGTAATTTTCGTGTCAAGGGTTTTCCGAAATCGAAGCAGTAGGATCTGTTTTACGGTCAATGTGAATTTCACCCCATTCTTAACCCATCTTTTACATCTATGATTTTTTGCTCATTTTTGCAGCTTCCTCTTTCCCTTCTCAAGACTGCCCAAGGGCACCCTATGGTAAGTATTGTGTATGTGTGGTCTTTCAGAACCTTTCTGAAACGTAGTGTGCTTTACCTTTCTTTTATAACTTGTGTTGTTTTGCAGGATGTGTAACTTGTGGTTATTTAATATCTTGTAACAGTTGGTAGAACTGAAAAATGGGGAAACCTATAACGGGCATTTGGTTAACTGTGACACATGGATGAATATCCATCTCCGTGAAGTCATCTGTACCTCAAAAGTAATTTCCATTCTCTGGCCCTTGCTGATTTTGCTCCATTTTATCATCTTATAATATCCCGTCTGCTTGGTTATATACTATTCTTATAAGTTTTGGAAAAAAAAAAAAAATTTGGTCGCTATTGTTGATATAGGATGGAGATAGATTTTGGCGAATGCCTGAATGCTACATACGAGGAAATACGATTAAGTACCTAAGAGTTCCAGATGAGGTGAGTGGTAGAAACACCCCCCCCCCCAAAAAAAAAAAAGTTGAATTCTTTACACTGTTTCGTCCCTGTTACATTTATTCTCTGATTTATTGCTATTACTTGTTACTTCAGGTTATTGACAAAGTTCAGGAAGAAACCAAGAGCCGCACAGGTGAATTGTTTGGCACATTAGTTGGTTGTTCATCTTTGTAGTCACTATTGATAACGCCTAGTTATTTGTCGAAAACTCCATCATGCTCAACATAACTAAGATGCCTGTTCCCCCACCACAACAAACGGGGTTTTCCTTCATAAGCAAAAGACCACTGTATTTTAATGAGCTAAGATTAGTTGACTTAATTTTACCCGTATTTTATGAAATGCTGTTCATTTAAGTTGCTGAAAACTAGAGAGTTGTCTAATTAACGTATCCCTTTTCAGATCGCAAACCACCTGGCGTGGGACGAGGTAGAGGAAGAGGGAGTGCGGATGGTCCTGGGGGACGTCAAGCCAAAGGAATTGGGCGTGGCCTTGATGATGGTAGTGCAAAAGGACCAGGTGGAGGCAGGGGCAGGGGTGGGTCAGGTGGCAAGCCTGGTGGAAGAGGTAAATGGCCCCTTATATCCTCTTCCTCTCTAGATGATTATATGTTATCCCCCTTCAATTTTCCGTGGAAGATTTCCAACTGCTTTCTGCGCTAGTATTGAATTACTGATGTTTTAACCCAGGCAAGCTGTTGATGGAGAAGAAATTTCTCCCGGACTTAAAATTTGAAATATAAATAAACAAAAATTAATATACATGTTTAATAGTTTTGTTGGATTCAGCGTTGAAATTTATAGTTGGGAGATGTCTCTAGATTTAGCTGCATACGTTCTTCAACTCTGTGAACTGCTTATTATTTCTATACATGTGCCGTCTTAATGGAAGCTCAAACGCTGAATAAATCTAATCCGGTTTCTTTGCTTTTTGTAGGCGCTGGACGAGGAAGAGGTTAATTTAGTTTGTGCTGTAACAGTTCAGGATGGGCCAGTTTGCTACTTTTAGAGGCATTTGTGCCCATTTTATTTGGGTGCATTGACAGATTCTTCTGCATATTATCTTTTTATCTATGGATATTTCGTCGTCTTAGGCTTTCATGGCTGTTATGGTTACCAAAATATAGGTGATATCAAAGAATTTGATGAAAGCCTCTGGCCGTGCATCATATTTCAACCATTATCCAAATCATTTGCCCCAATGAGTAAGGATGATGATACTAAACGCTTAATTTATATTTAATTCACGGAGCCTTTGGTTGATTGTTGAAGTCATTTTCTTCTCAGTCTTCAGAGGCTCTTTTCCCCACAAATGTTCACTTTTGCCAGGGCTCAAACCCTAGTGAACCTCAAGTTGCTTGTTGAATTGTGCATATAAAATAAGGGGGTGTTACGGTGAAGTTTGATTGATTATTCTTGTATGGGCAATAAGCATCAGATACGTTTGGTTTCACTAAAGCATGTATTACAGTATTCAGTAACTAGTTCATGCGAAAGAAGAATGAGATTCTTGTGAATTAAATGAATCGCTGATGGTTCGATAAAGAAGGGATTTTAACACTGGGAGTGCTTCATTTCTCAATGCTTGTGGGTTTTGGTCGGAAGAATTTAACCCCCCACCCTTTCCCCCCAAAAAAAAGGGAGAAGAAACATTTAATTTTTATACATATTATCGGGTTTAACTGATCCAAATGGGAAGAAAATTATAAAAGAAAGCGTACTAGGACAAAAAAAAAACTCCCTAAGATAGTAAATTTTGTAACTATTTTTGGATGGTTTCCTCCCTAGTATTCCCTCCATCCAGATATAGTCTTCTCTTTTCTGTATCCGGAAAATTAAAAAAGGATGAGACTTGAAATTTTAATAAATGTTCTCCGTTTCAAAATTGGAGTCGGCCGTTGCAGTGCTATCGTGTAGGGTTGAGCATTTTTTTCTCAAGTGCGCCAACAAACCGCGCCATTAGTAAATCGATTAATCTGAAAAATGAGGCTCGAATAACCGTAGCTTTGTTGGCAAAACCCCCCCCCCCAAAAAAAAAAAACGGAATAGCGGGGTAGTTTTATTCTTATGTTATTAATCGGTTATTCTTGCCGATGATAGAGGATCTCTAAATTCTATAAAATACAAATTTCCATAATTCATACAATCATTTATACAATCTCCTCTAGGGATGCAAAGATACTTAGTCTTGTGCCAAAATTTGCCTCCATATGATACAAGTTGCCAGTCAATCAGCCTGAAAAAATAAGCGTCCACAAAAGACCCAGATCCCTAGCCCAGCCCCCCCCCCCCCCCCCCCAAAAAAAAAAAGTATCCAAACTACTGAAAGTTACATACCTGAGGACCGATGCTTCATGTTATCTTTGAAAATATCTGTCCGCTCATATCAAACCTCATCGGTTCAAAAGACCACAACGGAAAGCTAGTAGGGCTGATGGCGATTTTTCTTGCGAGTTCTTTCGGACTTCGTTGTCAACGTGCTAGAAATCCATGATCGATTCACCTGAGGTGAATCATCGGACAGCCAGCAACAAAGGCGACCATCTTCCCCACCGGTCCATCCAAAAATGCCTTGGTCACACCCGGGTCCGCCGTGAATTCTTGACATGGGTAATACACTCCTTACAACACTTGTATGGCCCCCCTGGAGAATTGCTTCAGCAGATCCTACAGTTGCCGCCGCATTATAATTTACAGGAAAGTAGCCCAGAACACCCGCAGTAGTGCCACCAATCACCCATAGTTGTTGAGCTTCTCCGGAGTAGTGACAGTCAACAAAATAGTCAATCTAACAAGAGAAAGTGCAACATCAGTTTGTGGACTTGTGAGCACAGAATTATAGCAGAATCGTTATAGTAGTAGCAGCTGGAAAAGTTCGGAAGACCATCCACACTTATAGTGCAGCTGAAGCTCCATGCTCCCCTTCCACAAAGGCAGGTTGCATCAGCTCATGTGATAGAAGTGACCCCCTGAAGCATGGCTTCTTTCTCATGGAGAACTCTCCAGGAATAAGCTTTAAAAGTTTTCTCTCTCTCAATTTAAGTAATTATGTAACATCTACATAAGCATGAAGCTATTCCAGTTCGCTAAAACATATTCCATGAGAGAGGGAAGAACTCACATTATCCAAACTCCAACCTTCAGAAGCTAAACAACGAGCATCTGTGAAGTTTACTTCATTTCTAGCATCTTTCCAATCCCAAATACTACAAGGAATCAGAGTAGAATAAACAATAAGAATCAAGCTAAACAGACAAGAGAACGCTTAGCAAAGAAAAGGAGTCAGGACACAAATGCACGAGTTCTCAATCTAATTGCTTCTGCAGACAGTTCTGCTGAAAGTACTATCTCCATACACAACATGAGTTCACATGATAGTTGATGAGCAGTGTTAATTGCCTTTCCGTAGCAACTATTAACTAAATTGAATGCAAGATAAAGGCACAAAGCACATCATCATTTGGGCCACAAAATTGCAGAGGTCAATATAACTGTCAAGCAAACCAATTTAAGGAGATAACGTGCCTCAGGGTTTCAATATGCGTTAAACACCAAAGCTTCAGACAACTTTCACCAAAAAACCCCACCTTTGAGATTGAAGTTCCCACATTAATCACCTGCATTTTAGGTAACAAGCATGAATAATTTACTGGAATCCAAACTCAAGTATGAAAGAACTCAAAGAAAAATAATGGTTTTTCAAAATCCAAAGCTTTAAATGTGCATGCATTGCATAATAAAAATACTTCTGGTAAAAAAAAGCATAATAATATACTCCACCGGTCGAGACCTAATTGTGGAATTGGTCTTGATTCTATATGTAAGACCTATTTCTCATATTTATCAATTTTTCCCAAATCATCTCTATTGATACTCCCTCAATCATAATTAAATAGGAAAGGAAGGATATTAAGGAAGATTATTAGGATATTTTAAGGAAAAACATGTCATATTTATTATAATTAACTAATTTACCTAACTTCCTTAATCTAATTAAATTAGTTAAATAGATCTTATATTAAGGACCAAAGGAGTGCATGCATACACACGCGCATGTGTGTATCAATTGAAAACTGAATTGTAGCCTGAGAAACTGAAAAAGAAAAACAAAGTCAAATCTGAAACTGGAATACCATACTTACTGATTCCAGATGATCGTCATCGTTGATATCTCCAGCAACGTCAAATGTGCAAATCAACCCATCTACTGAAGCAGAAACAAGCTTCCCTTGTTGGTTAGGGACAAAATGAACCTATCAACAAACATATGCTCAGACTAAATTTACGAACTCATAACACGTTCAATTACTAGCACCGATCTATTCAGTAAAAGAACAAACTTTACAGTCAATTAATATCAATTAATCAATATCGCCATCATCTTTAGATGACATGTTAAAAGCAGATGAGATATGTGCCAACAGGAATACAGATGGATCAATTGTGATGCGCATCTAAGGTGGTGAGCAGTCAAGAAACTAGATTCTAATATTGTTTAATTTTGACCACCCAAATCGGCCATCATATATATATTATTAACACGATAATGGATTGATCACCTTTCAGACACTCGTATGCATACAAATATGTCCTTTTTTGTCAGAGGTGTTTCCAAGGCCAGAGTTCTAGACTCTAATGGGTACCGTTAACACGATATCAATCCTACTTAGAATGTACCTACTCATGAAATTAATCAGTTTTCACGGCACATACCTGAGTAACATCATCCACATGAGACTCTTCCAAGCATGCAATTTGCTTGTTGTTTCTCCAATCCCAAAAGATTATCTGAGTAAAATTATCCAGCAGAATATACCTTCTCTTAAATACCAATCTAAGATCATTCATACAGTATCACGAAGGTTATTGTGGTCGAAAGCAAACCTGCGATTTACAGCCAGCAGCAATTAAATTCCCGCTAGGCCCTCCAACGGAGAAGCTGAATACCTCTTGAGAAGAACCAGCTGATATGCAGGATATCTGCAGTTTGATTTTCAGCAGTTACATTGCTAATTGCCCACAATCATCAGTAAACTTGAATTTATAACTGTTATAACAGCAAAGAAATGGGTACCTGCTGTAACGTTCGGGTGTCCCAAAATCTAATAGTTCCATCCGAAGAACAAGAGCCTAGGACATATGAATCTGAGAGACCAGAGAACAAAATTTGGTTAATGGTATTAGAATGACCTGTGCACTCTCCGTGATAGTGACCAGCCACTGGCGAATACAATTTCACTGTGTTCGTCGATAATGACACTGCCATTGTACTCCAATCATCCCTTCCGTCCAGAAGCCACCCAAAAGGAAAAAAAAAATCACAGCCTAAGTCACAAGTATCATGGGATTTCCAGTTAAATGAACACACAAGATGACTTAATTTGTTTTTCAGTTAACTTCTGTGGAGCCAACTAGACAAAGACCAAAAACGTACTTTGGGATAATTTGAAATACATAGTCATCGCCGAAGTTGGTTTGAATAGAGTTTTTGAGTCCAAATCGTTTAACAGAGTTGAGATCAGGTGAAGGTTGTGCCTCAACATCCATAGCCACATTGGCTTCCATTTCTCTTTCCTGTTCAGTCTCGAACTGTGTCGTGGCTATATGCAGAAATCTATAGGAACAAAAAGGAATAGCCCTTTTTTAAGTCTGACAACAACAGAGCGCGGTCGCCGGTCGACGAGCCCGAGCTGAAGAAGAAGAAGAAGGGTGAAGCAGGAAGCTAGGGCAAAATCTTTTAGTTTTTTAAATTTTATTAAAATTGCTGGTTGTGAGTTGGGCTTTACTGGCTAAAGCCCGACCCATACTACCAAGTCCCCACTATTGTCTAGTTACAGTTGCAACCAAATATATGCAGGGCTGATCCCGAAAATACAAGGAAACCGAGCAACTAAACAAAACAGATCATCGTACCAGGCTACCAGCAATAGATATCCTCGTATGTGAAAGTAAGTGATTTTTTAATGTTAATTTAAATTATAACCGATACTATATAATTATGTAAAACTATAGAAAATACGCGTATTTGAATATATTTATGCATATAATATGAATAATAGCAAATTCAGAGGTCAGATTTGAATTGGCTAACTGGTTTTTTCAGTACAAGGCCACAACATTAGTGTATATTTTTTAATAAAAATTCTGAGAACAATGAATTTTACAAAAAAGTTTTAAAATTTCTAATCCTAATTATAAAACCTCAGACTACAAACTATAGTTATAATATTTTATATTCTCTAATTAATAACTCTTATTATAAGGCTGGTAAAAAGAAAATCACCCTGGCAAAAGGGTGATGGCCGGGGGAAGCCATTTCATAGAAGGTTAAGCGCCTTCATAAATCACGGCAGACGTTCACTCCCCCCCCCCCCCCATCCCTTTCTTCCATCACTATTCTCTCAACGCCGAGAAAAGTTACACAACCTTTGTTACCCGTGTGGCACACACTCATTCTCTTTCATACTATATATGTATAATAATTAATAAGTATATTATGAGAGACAGTCCTCTCTTTTTCCCTTTCCCTCCTTTCTTCCCATCCCCAGTTTGAATCAAAGTTTGCTATCTTTGTTCTACCTCGAAGGCTAAGAAATGAAGGGCGAATTTAGCCTCACTTCTCTTCGCGGGGAATACAACCTTCCTGTTAAATAACAAACCCATACAGCCCTCATACGGCAGCCATTTTACACACTGATTCGCGACACACAGCTCCGTTTAGCTTTCGAACAACTCAAGAGAACAAATGTTCACGACGGGATGCGAGGAAACTGTATTCCAAATCAAGTGTCCGATCACGAAAAACATATGGAAGCGGTTATTTCGGCACAAGAATTCGGACACGTCATTCACTCGGGAAATAAAATTATCTGATGTACAACTCCCTAGAAAGACCAGAAGGAGCTTTAACCAATGCATAACGACTGCTAAGCCGACATACGGAGAATTACGTAGATGCCTCCACCAAAATAACTGACAATCCGCGGCACAATCAGACTGAAAATTTCACCGCACAAATTCACAAGCAGACGTCTTCAAATTAGAATTTCTGACATCATAAATATCATGTGCTTGGTGCAGCTTGTTTCTCCATGGAATCTTCACTCTCATTCTTGCCAGCATCTCGCTTTTCATCCTTAGACCCTCCCTCTCCGACCTTGCCAGGGTCTTCTCCAGGCTTTGACACTTCTTCCTCTGTTAGAATAACCAAACAAACACATCTCATTTAGCACAGTATGAACCTATTCACATCCATAATTCCCTGAAGTTATCTCGTGACCATTGGAAGTTTTTAGTTTCAAATATCAAACTCTGACCAACTAGTCCATAAATCGAGTTCATCTATTCAAGTTCTAATGGCAGCAGGACTAAACAAATCATTACGATCAACTAGGATTTTGCCAATCATTATCAGTCCCAGTAAAAGCACTAATCTACCGCTCACGTTCAACAAAAACTCATCTCAATGATGAAACCAATATACTGCGGTTTCATCAAAAACTTCTCTTGTTTTAACAGAACTGAATGTATTGATTCAGACAAAAAAGACATACAAGAAGAAGAATGTATTCATTCAAAAGAAAGACATACAAGAAGAAAGAATGTATTCATTCAAAAGAAAGACATACAAGAAGAAAGAATGTATTCATTCAAAAGAAAGACATACAAGATGAAACGGCAAGAATTCTAAAAAAACTATTTCACATCATTGCCGCCTTTCTAATGAAAGGTGGGAGATGATCAAAGGTTAAAAGAAACATTATCAAGTTCATGAGCTTTCCTGGCTAGAGAGCTTGCCATGCTAATTACATCTCTGTAAACAAAATTAAGTGAAACATTCCAACTTCTATTAAACAAGTCGCATGCACTCTTGATGATATCTTGGAAAGGGTGACTGATATTATGCTCTCTGGTTATGAGATTGATGGCTTCAATACAGAATGAATAAACTTCAACATTCTTAAAACATTAAAAACTAGACACGAATAATTCTAACCACCAAATAAACAGGGGACAATAAATCACCACACATGCACAACAATGCTGTTATTATCATTCTCAAATCATTAAATTCACACTACTTTCGCACCTATCTTGACACACTAATTTTTCCACGAAGAAAAATAAAACTCCATTGTTTTTCATACTAAATTATATAAGAAGTGTGATAGAAGGCATGGATAAGACGGATCTAGAGCATCGTTTGCCATGCACATGCACGTACACGGACCTCATCACGATGGAAGTAGGTCCATCTCAGACATAAGCACTTGCGAACCGCATCACAAGAAAACACTCTTCCCTACTTCAAAACGCAAATATACCTTACAGTCACAGTACCTAGCAGACTAACTTTCGTCTAAAAGTAGCTTTAGAGAAATGAAGTAAAATTTTGCGCGTTACCCAAAAAATATCCTATTAACAACCACAAAAATAAGCAGCATGTTTACCTTCATCATCATTATCATCAAAATCATCACCCATTCCTCCGTCACCCATCCCACCAAATTTCTGCAGCATGCAAAATTAATCAGAACATCAGAAAGAAGAATACGAGTGAAAGCAAGAACCAAATGAGTACATTGCATACCGAGAAGTCCATTCCTCCCAAATCCAGGTCACCAAGACCTAATCAACAAACAAGGAGATTACTTGATCAGTCGATGCTTTGCAGTTTAAAAGCTTTATATAACTTAAAGGAACTCTAAGAAGAATGACATGGTTAATAGGTGAGCATACCATTATCATCATCCTCATCAACCCATTTATCCCAATCTACTTTTATGTAATGAGGAGCCTTGCCTTCTCCCCGCAATAACTTCTTCCACCATCCATCTTCCGCCTTCTGTACTACACAGAATATGTTTCTCACCCCTATATTAATTTTGCTCTCCTGAAAAAAATAAAAGGAAGCAATCAAGTAACGGCATTAAAATAATCAACCAAGAACCATTACAAGGAGAGAAGAAGGATAAAATAATGTACAGAGACAAGCAGAATAGAAATTCAAACTACATAGATCAGACTAGCCAAAAGAAAGGGATCGCATGTATTCAAACTTGGGGAACACACAAGGCTTGTATAGTTGGATATTTTAAGGTTCAAGCTCAGCTCATGTTAAAAAGAAAAACAAGTGTACCTACAAAAACCCAATGCCAGCGACAGGAAATCCATTCTCACCTCTACATTAACCTTGCCAAAGAGTTCCAATTTCAGCTCGTAAAGGTGATTTTCTGCCCCACCACTAGCGGAGAAAGTAAAAACGCCTTCTGGAGCAAGATCCACTTTTGCATTTTTAGCATCAGGCAACTGCACTGTGATATAGACCTTGTCTGACCGCTGAGCCCATTTGACCTCAGGATGACGACTGCGTCACAAAGAACACAAATAATATAGACAGAAGAAAAAATGAACTACTATCAGGAATTGTTGCAAGAAAAAGAAAATCCGCCAAGCTCTCAAACTGCTGTAAGCATTCGTCGTGTGCCCAAAAAATAATAATTACAGTGAACCCCACTGGCCTATAGTACCAGAGTCAGCCCAGTTCCATGACTCACACAACCCTTTCGCACTTTCATTCCTCCAATCGGATAGGGGAATAAACATTGCATGAAACGATAAACAGGCCGACTAGTAACACGGCCAATTAAACAAAAAAAAATAAGCGAAAGAAATAAGGAAGAGCGGGTGTGAGAGAGAAATAAAACACGCTCAAATTCAATCGCTAATGATGTGCTTACACGTTCGCCTCAGAACAAACTCAGCAGAAGAACCTAAATTCAGCAGCACAGAAAAACAGATGCCCCTCTTTCGCCCAACTAAAGACAATCTTAGGAAGAACAAAACAATTCGTTTATTCATTTCAATTAGTTCACTCATTAATGAAATGCGGTTCATCAGCCAGAAAATACAAGCCCCCGCATATCATAAGCATATTTTACGAAGTAGAGCATGCAACGAAGGCGGCATAATTTGTCCAGAAGACCAAGAAAAAATATCAGAGGGTTGAAGATTTAAAAAGCAGATAAAATCTAGCATTGATAAGCATTTACCTCATACTAACTATAAGAAGCGGGAGAATAAGCTAAAATCCCTAAACAGCGGCAATAATGAAACCCCAAGTGTTCTTTTCCCGACACTGAGGTAAATGTCGAGAATATAAATATTGGGACACACTTCTAGTACTTTCCCTCTGGTTTCTAGAATATGCTAATTAATTATGTAAGTGACCAAGCTCATGGTGCCAATAGCTACCCCCCCAAGCCCAACCCCAGCCACGGGGCTACGTAGGTAATTGCAAAATCAAGGGTTGCTAATCTGCAAATCTTAACCGGACCAAACGGCATAAACTCTGGTGCTGAGGATGAAACTTCAGTCCTTTCAAATTTCAAGCTTGCGCAGCTGCTTGCCCCAAAAGAAAAAAAACAGCTTCTAGTGGCCATTAAGGTCCAACTCCAATGCCATATTCTGAAGCACAGTATACTTTGGACGGCACAGGCCTGGCCCATTTGGCGCACTGGTAAACCCATCTTCTATTCTCATGGCTTGCCTAGGTGTGGGGTCCAGCAAAGAGCGGACAAAAACGATGTCGTCAATGCCGGACCGGCCTGCTTAACCCTAAAACGGTAAACCCTCCATAAGCCGTTGGCGCTAATTTCCCCCGATTCAGGAAGTGAGGCAATGGGAGGGTCGCGAAGA